AGAAAGAAAGAAAAAGATAACCAGATAGTCTTGGGAATTAAAATAGCAAAAAACAAACTTTCAGAAAATGCTATACTAGGATGATTTAGCAAATGGAACAAGATTGAAAATGTAATTGTGAACTGGAAGTCTGAATCAAGAATATCTCCCAGAATGCAACACAAAAAAAAAGAAGAGAAAAGGAGAGAAGAGAGGATAAAGAGAAGAGAGAAGAGAACAGAAAGAAGAGGAGAGGAGAGGGGAGGGGAGGAGAGGAGGGGAGTGGAGGGGAGGGGAGGGGAAGGGAGGGGAGTGGAGAGGAAAAGAGGGGAGGGAAGGGGAGGGGAAAGAAAGGAAATGGGAAAAGGAAAGAGAAAGAGAAAAAAGGAAAGAAGAAAAATAGAAAGTATGAAAAATTAGATCAGCTAATGTGAAATACTAAAGCGAGATCTAGGAGTTCCAATGACTGAGGAGCAGGAATTCCAAAAAGAGATAAGGAAAATAAAGGGAGAATATACTTGAAGAAACAAGAGCTGAGACTTTCTTATTTGAGAAAGACAGGAGTCCTCCACTAAGTGGGGAGTGGGGCTGGGTAAATTAAAGTCTGTTATATGCACATAATTTCCAAAGGAGCTAGGAATAATATGCCTCGGAAATGGAGACTATTCCTTTTTTAATTCTAAAATTAGATCTTCTGTCAAATAAACTTGTCAAGTATTTTTCTTTTTCTTTCTTTTCTGTTTTTAAAAGTCACTTACCTTCAACTGCAATGTGTGTTGTCCTCCAACGTCCTCACAACACAGACACATTTCTGGATCCCTGATTCCCAAATAAATAGGATTCCCTTTGCCTTGTTCAAGAGTCTCCGGGTACTTACATGTGATAAAAATGATAGTGACTATAAAGATAAAAGGGAAGACAGTGTAAATTTTCTGTTAAAGTCAGGAAAAGACTGATTTAGCAGGGTAGTGTATTCAGGTAGGCTGGAAGAGACCAGCTCATTCATTCACTCGTTCATTCATTCATTCATTCATTCATTCATTCATTCATCCTTCCATACCATGCACCAATCACTCCCTTCATAAATGGGGCAAACAATAAGTTAAGCAGACAGCAAACTCTTTCCTTGCGATTTTCACACCTGTGCTTGAATGCCTGGAAATGGGAAACTCCTACCACAAGCAGCCCTTCTGCCCCTTGGAGAGCTCTGTCCAATAGCAATATTTCCCTAATGTGATGTTGAAAACTACCTTTCTGTGTTATTCACCCATTCAAACCTTTTGGGATGCCTTGAAATCACACCAAACAAGTTATTTTTCTTCCATAGGGCAGACCAGCTGCTTCGGATCACTAAAAGCCTCCTCTACCCTCTCCAGTTTTTTGCAGACTTCTCCCTGACTTCTCTGCCCAGGCAGGTGTGAAATCCCTCCCTCCACGTGGGCCCCAGCTGTAAAACCACATATTAACAAAGGGCCTTGTCCATCCGGCAGCACCAATTCCAGGGGTGCAGCAACCACCAGATTACCACTCACCTTGATCCACATTGCCACTGCGTGGAACTGCCACAAGGCTCTGATTTTGAAGGATCCACACCTGGTGACTCAGATCAGAGATAATCCCAACCCGAGGTCTGTCCACTTCTGCCAAGGGGGGAAAGAGTGATGAAGAAATGTGATGATCAGGCTGCTTTACTCAACACCAGGTGAAAGATCATCTAAGCCAGGCCCTCAGTAAGCAAGGTCTAGGGTTTACACACCGAAACTGACAGTGCTCGTGACCATCACCCAGCTCTTCCCTCTAATAAAGCTATCAGCTCTGGTGAGAAGAGGCAACGGCTACCAAGGGCAGCAGCGGTTCGGGAGGGCAAACCATCACACCAGAGGGGACGACACATGCCCAGAGTACCTGAGCTACCCTCTTTTGTGCCCACCCTCTATTTGGCTCTGCTGAGGATGGAAGAAGTGACAGCAATGGTCTCATGGGAGGTGGACAGCACCAGGCAGTAGGGCCATGCACAGGGAGACACAGAGCACCAGGGCTTCCAGAAGAACAGCTGTGAGTGCAGGTGGCTCAAGCCTCTAGATCCCATCTCAAAAATACCATGTCGAACGTGTTCTGGAAGGACAAAGCTTTGTCGAGTGCCTATCATAGCGGGATTGTCTCAGCACCTGTGGGGACAGAGATAGAAGAGATGAGCCTCAGGTCATATTTCCTAGACCTTGCAGGACATTGAGTCCTCAGGTCCTTATCCTGAACACAGATCTAGAAGGCTTGTTCTGACAGAAGCTCTTGTCAGCAGATTGAACCAGCTCATGGGACAGAACTTCAAGACAGCCTCAGGCAAGAGAGATCAGGTAGAATTTTCCTCTGGTCAGAGATCCAGACAATGCTGGTATCTCCATAGAAGTTCTGAGGCCCAGGTGTGACATTTGGCCTTAAGCACCTTGAATCTCAAAGGCCCTTGATACCAGTGTCCCCTCCTCTGAGCAATCCCCTTAGCCTCTTTGACACCTGCCCAAGCCAGGGCAGCTCTGCTAAGTCCTAGAAGCTCCCCAGCAAGAAGTAGCTTTTGCCTCACAGGACAAGGCACAGATCCAGCCTGGCACAGTCCCATCATTTCCCTGGGCCTCAAAGTACAGTAAGAGAGGAAGCTCCAGAGGCAGAGGGCTTTCCAGCTATCAACTGCACCTGGCAAGGAAGAGAATTTATCAAATTCTCAGTCCAGAGACTGCATCACAACTCCAAAGCTTCCAAGAGCAGTGACAGGTCTGATTGCCTGGGGTATTTATCGAGTTTCTTTGGTGGGGCGTGACAACTGCATGACACAAATGAAAGCTATTTCCTTCCGCAGAGATCCTATGAGACTCGTATGAAGAAATCACAGAATCAGCACAAACATGACCTGTCTAGGCTCCCTGAGAAATAAATGCCAAGCCAAGCTCCACAAGATCAACCACAAGGAAACAGAAGTGATGACAGACCCTAGGTTTCTCAAAAAGGGGAGAAGAAGGGACTTCCCCAGAGTTCAATTCTCCTACCATGTCACCCTGGTGTCAGAACTAGGCATGCCAGACACCTTCCTGGCAGGAACCACATCTCCTGAGACAGCATAACTAGCCGTGTACTTCAAGCAAGATCCTGGGCTTTCCTGGCCCCCAACCAGCCCCAAAGTCACATCTGATTGAAGGGTCAGGCTGAAAAGCTCCCCTACCCTTCACTCTTGCAGCCTATCAGAGATGCATCTCCATCCCCTTGGGGAGACCAAGAAGAAACCTATAACTGGGAGAAGCCTGGTCCCAGATTCCACCAAGATACAGTAGACCCCAGAATCGTCTAAAGACAAAGGAAGTAGGCAGTGATTTCTCCAAAACCTGAGTCCCAGGGGCCAGCGCCATAGCAACAGTTAAGTATTTTGCATAGAAAGGCAAATCCTACGCCAACCACAGTTTGAATCCCAGCCCAGTGGCCAGAAAATCATGCCAAGCACATGTGCACGCATACCCAAAATCCTGATAGGATGGAGAAATAGATGGAAAAGGAGTGTGGCATGATCATGAACTAATGGTGATGTTCTCTCTCTCGCTCTCACTCTCACTTTTTCTGTCTTGCACATGCACCCACTGGCAATAAATAATAAGTAAACTGAGCCTCAGATCCAGCTTACTCCCCTCTGCCTAGTCAAAGAACTTCATTTCACCTCAGTCAGCACATCTTTTTGCTCAGGATACTCATCACAAAATAGCCATCTGAAAGTTCCTATCATCTGGTCCCCAAATCCCCTAGGCCTCTGTTTCCATTAGGATCCATCTGGAAAGCAGAACCCACACTGGGGCTGGTAAACTAAAGAAACTGAATGCAAGGAATTGATTATCATAAACTGGAAAGAGTAAAAACGGGTTGCTATGACACTATTCCAAATAGTATCAATTGCAGAAAGAAAAAAAAAGGAAGCAGAAGAACAAGACAGGTCAAAGAAGGGATCTTTCAGGGCTGAGGGCTACATCTTGGCCAGAGGGGAAAAAGAGACACAAGAGGATCTTCTGTTGAACTGATGCTCAGACTCTGAAGAGAAAGTGCATCAACTGTGAACGTGGAGGGGAGGAACCAGCCAGGAGATGCTCAGAGGGCCCAAGGGAACAACCCAGAGAGCTGCACTTTCATTGTCTCAAAAGCCTCTGGGAATAACTTGAGTTTTCCATGCTCAGATGAAGAATGCAAAAGCCACATGTGGTGATATGTATCATCTTTATCCTCTGCCTCTTATTCCATTTGGTCCTGACCCTTTATTACCTTCCTGGAGAATCTAGCCCTTCCTGGGATTCCCAGCATTCAGCATCCATCCCAAAACCCAGTTTAAACTATAATGTGCATGAGAGGCAGAGAAATTTGAGAAAGTAGGGGTAATGGTGACAAAGGGAAGAACGGAACCATCAGGAGTCATTACTAAAGAGCAGAAAGTTGTTCTTTTGGCCAGAACCACCATATTCCAGAAATTAACCAATGACGAACACAAACGGAAAGAAGAGCAGCACCCAATATATGTTCTTTAGGCCTTTTAAAAAACATGGAGTTGTTCCTTTGGCAATATATATGCGAATTTACAAGAAAGGTGATATTGTAGACATCAAGGGAATGGGTACTGTTCAAAAAGGAATGCCCCACAAATGTTACCATGGCAAAACTGGAAGAGTCTACAGTGTTACCCAACATGTTGTTGGCATTGTTGTGAACAAACAAGTTAAGGGCAAGATTCTTGCCAAGAGAATTAATGTGTGTACTGAGCATATTAACCATTCTAAGAGTAGAGATAGCTTCCTAAAACATGTGAAGGAAAATGACCAGAAAAAGAAGGAAGCCAAAGAGAAAGGGACCTGGGTTCAACTAAAGCACCAGCCTGCTCCACCCAGAGAAGCACACTTTGTGAGAACCAATGGAAAGGAGTCTGAGCTAAAGGAACCTATCCCCTATGAATTCATGGCGTGATGGGTGTTAAAAATAAACTAATCTATGATCTATAAAAAAAAAGCAGAAAGTTTATCTACTGAGAAACTTTACTCCAAAAGTGGAAAAGATGAATTATTATGAGTATATGAAATCCTAGCTGTGTCTGAGGAGACTATCAGTACTGATACTGACTATAAACAATAAAGATTACTTTTACATTTTGCTATGTAAAAAAAATACAGTTGCCAGATTCTATTAATGTTTTATTTTCATGTAGGACAATCAGAATGATGAATATTATTAAGAGCCTTGAACTGGATTCCAGTAAGTACTCATATAACCACATTTCCTAGATATGGATATTATTTTAAGAGAACTGTCAGTCTAGTTTTCAATTTAAAGCTCTTAAGATACCACCACCTGCATTTGTTTGCTAGTAAATCTTGCTAGCTTGCTATTTAATAAGCTCGTGGCCCCATTAAGTTGAGGGAACATCAATGGAAATCAGGTAAGGTGAGAGAGTGTCATCATTCATTACTTCTGGAATCTGTGTATAGATGCCCAATCCTTACAATACCTTATTCAGGTAACTATACTGGCAATGATAACTAGTAAAGCAAAGGGGTCATGGAGCAGTAAAAGTTATCCAACCCTCATACTTACACCTACACAGAGTCAAGTAGTACAAGAATTAGATTCTACAACTCCCAACTCTAAATCCAGCCTCTCTAGGGGTGCTCACCATTTCTCTTGGGGTTCCAAAGAGGGCCAAGCCCACTGTAGCTTAGTCAAGGGCTACCAATTATCACGGCTGGAAGTATGGCCTGGGATTGTCACTGGAAAAGAATGGCACTGATCTTGCTTGAACTGATGGAGGAACCAGGTGTTTACCATGAACCACGGAGGCCAGCATGGGGCCATCTGTACTCTAGAAGACTTGGGAAATGCCAAGGAAAGACCTGGGGTAGTCTGTGAGCCATTTCCCAGCACAGATGTAATGGTGTGCTTGAATATGCACAAAGACCTCTGCTCCTCCAAAAAGTTTAAGTTCATTGTCTAAGACTTGCTTCTTGTGAGCTGATTCTTCACATCTTCCTGGAGCAAGTCTCTAAGAAACTCTAGACTTTAGGATGTGGGAAAACATGCTATTTAACAGCATCTTCTCCCTCATGGGCAAACAAAAGATGAATCAACAAAAATGACCCAAGAGCTACATGGGGTAGCCAAAATGAGGCATTAAGAGTTAAGACAAAGAACCAAATCATACAAGACCATCATGAAGGTTTATTTCTCTAAATGCAAAGCAGCTATTTATCAAAATATACACGATGTGCAACAACAGTGACCGCAACCAAAGCTAAAGCAATCAAATTCCTTACTTGGACAGCCCATAGGGTAACACTTAAGGAAGGATTGCAGGCTAACTGCCAAAAGTTTTAATTTCCTAGACAAAAAGGCAAGTGATAGAGAACCTTCAGTCTTTTCCCAATGGGTCACATCATGTAAAATGCAAATGCCATGAAAGAAAAGATGATAAACTGAATGCTGTCCAAATTTTAGAATTTCATACACAATGCACCATGAAAGAAAATTCAAAATACAAGCTACTCAGAAGAAAACATTTAATAAACAAATAATTACTGTCCCAAGTTTTTAAATAGTTCCAACTAATCAATAGGAAAAAATGTCAATAATCCTATAGAAAAATCATAAATGGGTGTTTCACTGAGTAAAAATGCACATGTCCAATAAGTATGTAATTATAGTTAACCACATTAGTAATTACCAAAATGCAAATCAAATTAATAGTGAGGTTCTGTTTCCACCCAACAGGAAGGTACAAATTAAAACTATGGTAGGCAATGATGTGACAAAACAGATCCACTCATCACATAGGTGGATGTGTGAATTGATACAACCTTTTCCGGAAAGAAAGTTTACAGACACTATTAGAAACTTAAATATGGGAACCAGCAGTTAGCGTAATGGCTATGTCGCTAGATTCCCATGTAGTTGACCGCGGTCCGCGTCCCGGACCCGGTGGCTTAAAACTCATGCCAGCCGCATGTGCATGCGTGCCCTCCCAATGGGTCACATCATGTAAAATGCAAATGCCATGAAAGAAAAGATGATAAACTGAATGCTGTCCAAATTTTAGAATTTCATACACAATGCACCATGAAAGAAAATTCAAAATACAAGCTACTCAGAAGAAAACATTTAATAAACAAATAATTACTGTCCCAAGTTTTTAAATAGTTCCAACTAATCAATAGGAAAAAATGTCAATAATCCTATAGAAAAATCATAAATGGGTGTTTCACTGAGTAAAAATGCACATGTCCAATAAGTATGTAATTATAGTTAACCACATTAGTAATTACCAAAATGCAAATCAAATTAATAGTGAGGTTCTGTTTCCACCCAACAGGAAGGTACAAATTAAAACTATGGTAGGCAATGATGTGACAAAACAGATCCACTCATCACATAGGTGGATGTGTGAATTGATACAACCTTTTCCGGAAAGAAAGTTTACAGACACTATTAGCAACTTAAATATGGGAACCAGCAGTTAGCGTAATGGCTATGTCGCTAGATTCCCATGTAGTTGACCGCGGTCCGCGTCCCGGACCCGGTGGCTTAAAACTCATGCCAGCCGCATGTGCATGCGTGCCCAAGATCCTGAGAGGAGAATGGAGGAGAAGGGATTGCGGCGTGGCCATTCCTCCTGGGGGGTGATTTCTCGCTTTCTGTCTCTATGTCTCTCTCTCTCTGGCAAGCGCACGTGCTCTATAGTGAAAATCTCTCCAAAAAAA